CACAGCCTCCCCAGGACAATCAGTCTGTCGCAATTTCAATGCGGGTCGGTGCTTCGGCCCTTGCTCCAGGTCCCACATCTGCCAAATCTGCCGCGGTCGCCACCCAGCTTCCCAATGCAAGGATAACACCACCAGCTCGGGGGCGGGTGGTAAACCCAAGCAATAGGGCTGCCAACATCATGCCAGCCTTCAGTGTCCAGCGCGACACTTAGGCCACCATCCACCGCACACTGCATAATACTGTACATTCTGTTCATAGACCACTGCACGTTTCCCGTTTTGCGTCCATGCTTGCTTCACATCCTGATCAGCAATTCGTCAATTGTGTATGCAATGGCCCTGCTTACGGTTTCTCTCTCGGCTTTGAGGGCCAGCGTAAGACTGTAGGAGCCCCGAATCTCACCTCTTCAGCTCCTCATTCACAGCATATTTCGCACTATCTCCAACGTTGTTGCAAGGACGGTATGACAGCTGGTCCATTTACCACGCCACCATTTAGCCCCATGCAGTCATCTGGGCTTGTCATTGTACCAAAGAAAAACGGTCGTCTTCGTGTAATTCACCATCTGTCGGCATCGGAAGGGTCCAGCGTAAATGACGGCATACCAGCGGACAAGTTCAGCTAGAGGTACATCCACGTCGACGATGCAGTTCGTGCCATCATGTCAGTGGGCCGCGGCGCCCTATTGACGAAGCTCGATGTCCGCAACACGTTCTGGCTCATTCCAGTCTCCCCTGATGACTGGCGGCTGTTGGGCATTCATTGGCAGAACCAGTACTATTTCGAGAAGATGTTACCGTTTGGTCTGCGTTCTAGCCCGTTCATTTTCAACCAGGTTGCGGAAGCCGTTGAGTGCATTTTGCGTCACCAGTTCGCCATTCCGATCATCATGCATTATCTGGACGACTACCTCTCGGTGCCTGCGCCTTCCTTGTCCCTCGCGTCTAAGCAACGCTCTATTATTGAAGAAGCCTTCATCTACCTCGGCATTCCCCTGGCCTTGGAGAAGCTGGAGGGCCCTGTGACGGAGTTGACATTCCTTGGCATCACGTTGAATTCCGACCGGTTTGAAGCTCGGCTACCAGATGATAAGCTAGCGGATATAAAACAACTCGTTCTCGATGCTAGCTCAACTCGCTCCATCCCCGCAGCAAAGTTCGTCTCTCTATTGGGCAAGCTCACTTTTGCTGCGCAGTTTATTGTTCCGGTTTGCACGTTTATGCGCAGGTTATGGGACACCGCTAAGAAGTTCAGCAAGGTACCTCGGCATTACCGCATTACCTTGAGCAGTGACTGTCGTAAGGACCTTCTGTGGTGGCAGGAGTTCTTAGCTAGTTGGAATGGCAAGTGGTTCTTCCTGTACCAAGCCGAGACTTCCAGTACCGTAGACTTAGATCTACTTCAAGTATAAACTGATGCTGGTGGCACCCTTGGATGGGGCGCCTATTATGCCAACGAGGGCAGGTGGATGCACAGCCGCTGGGAGCAAGACACCATGGACTTGTCCATTGAGTACAAGGAACTGTTTCCTATTCTCGTTGCGTGTGCCACGTGGGGACACATGTGGTGCCGGCTTCGCATAGCATTCCACTGCGACAGTCAGGCCGTGGTTGATTGCTTGGCTTTGGGCACGTCAAAGTCTCCACCTGTGATGGCCCTTGTCCGCAAACTGTTCTTTGTGTGTGCGAGGCACAACTTCTGTGTCGTAGCCCGTCATGTGCCTGGCAAGTCTAATGCAATTGCGGATGCCCTCTCTCGTTTTAAACTGCAGGAATTTCGGATGCTCGCCCCCCCCCCCCACACACCCCCCAACAGGGGACGGATACACCAGTGCCCCTTCCCTCCTGGGACTAAGCAGCAAAACAACTCGATGTGCGTCCCTTGCCATTGCACCATCTACCAGGGCAGCATACCGTCATGGAGAACAACGCTACCGGCAGTTCTGCCAGTTATGCCGATGGGACCCGTTGCCGGCGACAGACAGTATGTTATCGAGCTTTGCGGCCTACTTGGCGAGATCTGTGAACCCAGGTACAGTGGCCAATTACATCTCGGCCGTTCGTAATCTGCATCTGGAATGTGGCATGGACGATCTTGGACAGGCGCTACCCTGCTACCGCGCGTGCTCAAGGGCATTAAGAGAGTGAAGGGCACTGCTCCGTCCTTGACTCGTCTTCCACTGACAAGTGATCTGATCCGGTCTGTTGTGGACCGGTTGCGGAATGACTCAACTTCTACTTCAGATGATCGTGTAATGCTGCAAGCCGCAATCCTGTTGGCGTTCCACGGCTTCCTGCGGTGCACAGAGTTTACTGTAAGCGACCACGCACCGTTCGACCCGAGATTTGATGCTGCTGGTGCCGATGCTGCCGGTGCCCGCGTTACAGTTTGTCATGAAGCGGTCCAAGACGGACCCGTTCGCCAGAGGCATGACCCTATACATCGGGCCAGCAACGCCACAATATTGTCCCGTTGTTGCCATGGTCGACTACTTGTCACGCAGTAAGCCGCCGGTGTTGCAGCCCTTGTTCCGGTTCAAGTCAGGCACACCGCTGACTCGCCGTCGCCTCACTGCCAAACTGAGAGCCCTCCTGCAGTTGTCCGGGGTGTGTAATGTGGCCAATTATAGTGGCCACTCCTTCAGGATTGGTGCGGCGACAACGGCTGCTGCAAACGGTGTTCCTGTGTGGAAAATACGTGCTATGGGTAGGATGCAAAGTGACTGTGTTCTGAGGTACATTCGCACTGATCCGACGGACCTGCTGTCTCTCTATGGCTCTTCACATTGGGCCTATTTAACTGCGTGACATGCCCTGTATTCACGCGTGTGTTGCATGGACTCTTGGCGATGGCCTCATTGATTCTATATTTCTTGCTGAGTCAATGCACGATCCATTATTGCCTCTACCTTACTTCTTACCTTCCACTCTGGGTGACCTCTCTCTTCCCTGCTGCTTGCACAACTGCGCTCGTGGCTTCTTCGGTGCGGGAATTGCCGGCCATTATGGGCCACGCTCATTTCCGGCTACTCAGGGCCTCGATCGCCGTCCCTCGGACGCAGACTCTTGTAGATACTTGACTCCGCCAACATTCTGATCCGGCAGTGTCTACCCGGCCGACCCTGAATCCTCTCTCGTAGATACTTGGCTCCGCCAACAATTCTGCTCCGGCAGTGTCTACGTATTTCTTTCCATAGCCTCTCACTCCGCTGGCCGGCACTCCCCATACCGCAAGTTGCTGTGTGTTGTAGTTAATGTACTTGGTCCGCGTCAGCAATATTGTCGCTTATCTTTCGACAATTTGAACTGAGACTTTGGACATCAACGCGTGCACTTGAGACAATAGAACTTGGTACGATGGAAGGTAAGGTACAGAATGACAACTGTCCATGAGGAATTTATTGTCCAAGGAAGGGTTCATACTTTTTTTGACCTCATCGCTGCTCTCGGCGCTGGTGACAAATAGTTTTTGCTCGTGATCGACACTCTCGCTTTCGCAAGTTCATCTCTCTTCCTCTCCGCTGCCTAGCTATTTTCTAAAGGGAAGTCGACCGTGACCGTCGCCTTCTCTATAGGACTTTGCGTGGGCAGCACGACTGCCTGTGTGGTTCAAATCAGTCGCCGTTCTTTTGAAAGATTCATTTTGAACAACGACGACGGCTACAGTACTTGCAAATCTCCACGACGCGCTGGATACTCCAAGCGTTCAGCTGGAGGTGAGGGAACTGCGATCTCAGATTGGCGAGCGATTCCTAAGGTGAGCGATCTCGGCCGTTTTGCAAAATGGAACTAATTCCGAGTAGCCGGTTACTTTCTTGTGCGTCGCGCTGCTCTTGCCTGCGCAGTGTGACAAGATAATCTTTTTTGATGTGGCGCTGTATCCATCAGAATCACCCACCCACTCGAAATCCACTCGAAATCTAGCTAGACCTTTCAGGTACTAGTAAACTAACTTACTAACGAAAATTGGGATGAAATGGGCTGCCAAGGGAACATTGGTGACATAAAAACAAAGCTGAAAGATAAGCGACAATATTGCTGATGCGGACCAAGTAGCATTATGGTGATAATGCAGATTAATGGGTGCACGCAGCTTTGCGCTACCGCTCAATCTATGCTGCAATGTTTGATAGTGCTGTTACTGCATGCCCATGCTTTGCTGCTGGCTATGGTCTCTGTGCGGCTCACTCTGTATGATATTGAATGCATCTCTCTACGTGACATTGAACGTGTCTCTCCACGTGGCGTTCATACGTGTCGCTCGTCTCCGATGTGGGCAGTGTGTGGCGGCGTCATGATGACGTTTGCTTGTAGCGCTCAACGTGGGTGGCATGCATCGTTGCATGTCTTGCTAGAGTTTGCTCTGTTATAATATTATATTTCGATCCGTTCTGTGCGATGATCATTCTTGCTTGCACGTCGTGTTTCACCCTCCCACCTCCCATTTCTCATCACTAATTTGCTTTGATAAAGTGAATAAACGGGGTGTTGGCCATGCATTTCCGGCTACTCAGGGCCTCGGTCGCCGTCCCTCGGACGCAGACTCTTGTAGATACTTGGCTCCGCCAACATTCTGCTCCGGCAGTGTCTACGTATTTCTTTCCGTAGCCTCTCACTCCACTGGCCGGCACTCCCCCGTACCGCAAGTTGCTGTGTGTTGTGCGTGTGCGTGTGCGTGCGTGTGCGTGCGTGTATGTGCGAGCATGCAATCGTCTGTGTGTTTGTGTGTTGTCTGTGTTGGTTTGTGTGTTTGTGTGTACGTGTGTTTGAACATGCTACCATGTGTGTATCTTTATCTGTGTGTTTTGTTTGTTTGTGTATTTTGTGTGTGTATGTGTGTTTATGTGTGTGTATGTATCTGTATGTGTGTGTGTGTGTGTTTGTGTGTGTGTGTGTGTGAGAGAGAGTGAGAATGTCAGCGTGTGGGTGTGTGCATGCTTGTACGTACGTATCTGTGTGCTTGTTTGTGCGTGCGTGCGCGTTTGTGCTTGCATGCTCAGACTCTTCTGATTCTGGCAGCTTGCTACTATGGCAGCATTCATTGTGTCCAGTTTTTACTCTGGTGTGATCCGTCGCTGTTGCGCGGCAAAGTTATGTTCAATGGCTTTAGTCATCCACGTGAGGTGAGTACTGGCCGAAGTGCTCGGCGTGAAACTGTTTGTTCTGATCACTGGTTTGTTTATTCTGATAAACTGAGCACGTGCTCATCCAGCGTCACTTCGCTGTCAAAGATGTTCCTAGAAAATTGCATGTTCCTCTGTTTGTAAATGTGGTGAACATTGCGCCTCAAAGCCATAATAGAGTAAAACCTGTAACTAAAGACCACCGTAACTAACAGCCAGCCTGCTGCTACACACCACTTCGCCAGGCACGGACAGTCTCATATACAAAAATGCACTGTGACAAGCGACTACCTGATGAACGCATCCAGCGACCGCCTTTTCTTGTCCCAAAATCGATTTTTGACCTGTAACTAGCGACAGCAGTGCAGGTTGTTCGAAGCTCCTTCTTCGAAATTTTGATGATTTTTTGTCCTGAATGGACTCTTTGGATACTACAGCTGCATGAATGAATGCAATCTCATTTTGAATATGGGCTGCACTGCACGCTCTCATGAGCAAACATTATAGGAAACGTCTTGGAGAGTAATTGCTCTAACCTGCTCTATGATCGATTCTACTGCTCAAAGGAGAAATGGCATTGCGCAAGTGGTGGAAAATTTCATTAGCTGCATTTTAACATGCATATCAGACATGGAATTATGGTCGCTGGGTTCAAACCTGTAACTTAAGACCACATGCCACCAAAGACCATTTCTTCTGGCACCAAGGGGTGGTCGTTAGTTGAAGGTTTTACTGTACACACGGTTTACTTTAGTTGAGCTACTTTGTCCGGCTTATTCAAATGTGCACTTCACTTCAAAACTCAATCATTTGTACAAATGAGCACCAGAACTACTTCACCAACCACGTCGCCACCATCACGACAAAGTTTCGTCAGCGAGCGGTCCTGCTGATCCACATGACCAAGCATATCACCCCAGCCGTAGCCAGCCGTTTGTACACTGGATATGTTCGACCTGTGGTTGAATACGCCTCATCCCTCTGGCAATTTCAACTCTCCAGCGCTCAGACTACTACCCTTGAACGGCTACAGGCAAGAGTGGCACGTGTGATCCTGCGGCAGTATGGCGTGTACCCTCCTCAAACGGAGCCGAAAGCCTCACTTTTCGCGCACCTCCAGTGGCCCAGCCTCGCAATTCGAAGACACATTCAGTGCCTTCTTGAGCTCCACCACCTTATCAATAGCCAGATAACGACCCTGGAGGACCTAGACTACTCAGTGTCAAACAGCGCCAGGCGCCCCCAACATCTACTCCCACCTGCTAGAGCCAGCACACACACGCGTGCCACCTTTCTCTTTGTCACCACTGCCACATGGAACTCCCTCCCGGCTGCCATTTGTACTGTATCCAGCTCAAAAGGTTTTACCGCTCTTGTCCGAACACACTTTGCTATCATCCGTTATGAGCCCTCTGGCTTCATTCCAAGTAGATTAGCGTTGTCATAGAGCAGTGTGTTATATTACTACCACCCCGCATCTTTCTATTTCCTATTTTTATTTTTCTCCTCAGCTTCTTCTTCATAAGCTGTTGACGGAGAAGGCCTGTGGAGGATCCATAAATACAAATACAGACGAACTAAAAACTCAACCAAGAGATGGAACATAGATATCTACCGTGTATCGTCTCTTGGGCTGACCTTCTAGTTTTCATCGCTGCTGGTGTCTTTGGGCGCATCTGCAAGCGCGTCACCCTGCAAAACATCGCCAGTTTTTTTGTCTCCTTCAAGCTACGCTGCATTTCCTTGCTTTTGTCTATCATTAGATTTTGACGATCGCCTTTGCCTCTCCCTAGTGCAGTGCAACTGTCAGAATAGCTATAGGGGTTTACACCCGACGTTGCCACGAAACCTTCAAATGAGGCGAACAGGTAAACTACCATGCACCAAAAAGATTACTTCTCATCACCTTGTTCCGTTTACTGACAGTCTGTGTCATGCAGTCCGACCGTTCGCGATCATTGTATGAATCAATGGGCCACTAACCGTAGTAGTACACTGTCACTGGAGACGAGATGGAGCTTTCGCATTGGCTTGGTGCAACGGTAACGCCTCGCGGCTCCGAAAACTCCACACCATCTACGAACCGCATCTGCAGAAAACTTCACTGTTTGTTCATTTCAGTTTCCAGCCAGTTTCTCGTGGGAATGGCGACTCCAGGGGTGGTTGTTTTTTCGATCAGTTTCTCGGCGATCTTGAGTCGTCGGCCCCCACATCGTGGACGACTGCGAGATACATCAGTGAGCTGGACAACTCGATGATTGTGCTGGTGCACTAGTTTCTGGATGACGCGTTTGCAGAAAATTCTGCCCAGCAAACAGAGACTGCAGCGACTTTAATCTGTCAGGAGGGAATCAAGAACGATCGCCCTGGAGTTCCTGGTACTCCGTGACAATTCTCCATCGTATTGGGGGTCTTGATATCAGCACCAGGCCTTCTCAGTGTTGCAGGTGAAGCAACAAGAGTCCTCTGATGACAACATTTGAACGCGAAACGCACGAGTCATCTAGGAGTTTGAGGTGCTGCCTCCTTTGGAGTTTTGAGCCATTCCTTCCTCAATGTCACAAATCGACAACTGAAGGACACTGTTAGGTAGCTGGGAAGTTTATTCCGTCCTGAGATAATTTGAATTTGCTTGGTAGGCTTCGGAAACGAAGCGCACATTTTAGTAAGTCGGACCAAGTAGAACATAACCACTGGCCAGTGGGTATACTTTAGTAGAGGTACAACATAACCACTGGCCAGTGGGTATACTTTAGTAGAGCTACAACATAACCACTGGCCAGTGGGTATACTTTAGTAGAGGTACAACATAACCACTGGCCAGTGGGTATATAAGTAAACGTGCCGCGATCGCGCTTGCGGTATTGGATTCATTGGAGTTTTCTCTTCGATTTACATACTTGGATTGTCCCGAAAGACTGACATTTGACTGAAATACGAAGGTTTGTAGCTTGTTTGTCCAGGCGCACCAGTGCGTAAACTCGCCAACTTTGAAGTGCATTTTTCTGCACTGTGCAGTGTTTCCCATCAGGTCGGTTTTCGCATCTGACGGCTCCTTTAGTAGAGGTACAACATAACCACTGGCCAGTGGGTATACTTTAGTAGAGCTACAAAATAACCACTGGCCAGTGGGTATACTTTAGTAGAGCTACAACATAACCACTGGCCAGTGGGTATACTTTAGTAGAGCTACAACATAACCACTGGCCAGTGGGTATACTTTAGTAGAGCTACAACATAACCACTGGCCAGTGGGTATACTTTAGTAGAGCTACAACATAACCAATGACCAGTGGGTATACTTTAGTAGAGCTACAACATAACCACTGGCCAGTGGGTATACTTTAGTAGAGGCACAACACAACCACTGGCCAGTGGGTATACTTTAGTAGAGGTGAACGATAAGGGAAAAGGTACTGTGGTTCCTCCAAGGGTACACAACCCCCAAGAGTGTGCTACTGCAGTTTTGTTGTAACACGTTATGAGATGGCAGAACTTCACATCACTTGACGAGCTTGCACATAGTATGTTCACACTGTGCATGATAGAAAGAGGGTTGAACGCAACCCTGTTTTGGATTCAACTCTCCTGTGGTCACTTTGCACTGCTTGCCAGCGTAACCTTTTGAATCACGTGTGATGTGAAGTTCTGGCGTAGCAGCACTCGATAAAGGTTGTGTGGGCAGTTGCACACTTTTGGGGTTATGTACTCTTTGTATCACTAATCTGAGGTTATGAGTTCAGTTCATAGGCACCACTGATGCAAGTATTATTGTGAATTTTGTGAAAAGTTCCAGCCAGCATTAACTATGTCCCCGTCCTCTACGACACACACACTAAGACGAGATATGCTGTGTTCTTGGAGAAGTCAATTGTACTTTGAGTACATGTGTATGGTACTATGCTGCAATAGAAAGGAAAAATCTGGAACTTGCATACTTTGCAAGTGATTGTAATAATGTGTATGTGTGTATGTGTGTGTTTGTTGCTATGGTAACCTAATAGTACTGCAGCCCAGTATCACTTCTACATGTCTGCGCGTCCCGTGGACATAAAGCACTGTGTGAGCTGCTGATTAGAAAAGGCATAGCAGTTAATGTCCAAGATAAGGTGAGCTTTGGAGATGGAATGCACCAATAAAATGTGCTTTGCAACAAACTCTTGTGACATCAAGTATTTTCAAGGACACGAAACCATTTGTCCTCATGTGCTGAATATTGATGTGCGCATGTGGACATAGTGCACGGCATCATGTATGCCAGGGCCGTAGCTGCCACATATTTGACTGGTCCGGAGGAACATTTTGCCTTAAAATGATATGACCGAATCAAGTTACTACAATGTACCAGTACATGTAGTGCACCTATGCAGGTTATGCAATTACATTGTCAGTTGAAATGCTGTTGGCGAAGTCACAGATTCATGAGTGATCGTGGCACAGCGCCGCATATTGTACATATTCGAAAATCTGCTGATTTGCGCTCGTATACTAGTGTGTCCATTCGAAAATCTCTATGAAATCAATTGTATAACCTCTAGATGTATACGAATTCTCATACTTTGGAGAAAGATGATTGATACGGCTTTATGTGGATTGAATAAACGTCTTCAGGCTGCGAAGTCCACCGAATGACCCCTCCGATGTGGCGTTCGTGGCTGGAAGAATAAGCAGTAGGTGAAACAACCAGCAGGCAGGCAATGACTTGTACATCTGGTGCAAAGTGAGCAGCTCAGCTCCTTACAACTTACAGCCTGTTTGGGCGCGTTCCTGTCACTCGAGTTGAACCCCCTTTGAACCCTTGAGTTGAACCTTGGTGTCAAAAAATGTGTAGCCTGCAGGTACGATGACCAGGTGACTGGTAAATGCACAAGCACGTGACCGCTTACTCACTCGTGTTTGATTGGGGAATAAGGGCCAAACGCTGCATCACAGCCTTCTTGGAACAATACCTATCGACTCAGCATCAAAAAGACTACAACATATGGGCCAATAGCTTTCATCCGTGCTTTCATAAGAACGAAATGGCGCTTTTAGTGACATTTTGCATACAAATCTCCCTCTATGAAATAGTGGTTGCGACTTCGGCGATGATTTTTTGGGAAATGGATTGCTCCCACACCGGAGTAAAGTGTCAAGTCAAGTCGGCGGAATAGCGCGAGCTCCAGTGTGGGAGCAAACCCTTTTCTAAATCCCCCTCGGATAGGGTCACCCAGTTTCGGTGGAAGTGCGGGAGTTCGATTGGGGATAAAGGAGGAATCGAGCGTCTCAAATTCCTCGAACCAAGACCATTCGACTCAGCATCCTGAAGACAGAAAGATGGTATAATTAGGTATAAATGGTTCAAGTAACGTGTCATGTTTGGTGTGGCCAACCTTGGCCGGTAGTGTTTTATTTAATTAATTAATTTATTCATTTTTCACTGAATGCCACATAACCATCAGATGCTGCAAGCAGGGTGGTGGCATATTGGATGGAAGTGGAGGCGGGGCAAAAGTAACGCCTCCGAACAAAGGTCTCGGATTCATCGTTACTCATGCGAGCCGATACGTAGCAGAAAAGAACATGTGCTTCCAAGGGGGAAGCACCTTTGCAAACGATAATGGGGAGAATTTCAGATTGAGATATGACATAACACAATAGTAAAAGCAGTGCACCATGGGTTAGGAAATTGGAGAGAACTGATACTCGTATATTGTACCATGACTAGGAGACACAAGCTAAGTTTAAGGCTGAGCGAAGGGGATCAGAGAGGATAGAAGGGAGCTGGAGTTCTGGTGAAATGCACCGCTGTTTGTGTAATTACTACGTCCTTTGTTCTTTCTCTTCTTTTTTCATTAGCACATGCATTCGTGATTTCTCTTGGTTTCGTTGTTAAAATTCACACTTGTGTTTATCACTCCTGTTGGTATTGGTGTTGTTTTACGTAAGCTTTCTATAATGTGTAAAATGGGGGTTTGTCAACTGACAACCGCTTTATCCCTTTTTCTATTCACACGGCGCATGAGCTGGATGAAATTATTTTATTGATGATGTTGAAAATATTATTGACGTTTCGGGCCAGTCACCGATCGTCAGAAAATGGTTCTGATGATGAGTGACGGGCCGAAACGTCAATAAGGTTTTCGACATCACGAAGAAAAGAATTTTCATTCAGCGCATACGCCGAGTGAATAGCAACTGAATACAGTGGTAGTTAGTTGACAAACCCCCTTTTACTGACAATGCAGTTGCGTGATGTCCACCACTTTCTGAATTTCTATAACATTAAAGCCAATGTAGTAACCGAACGTTTTCGTTCCCTTCTCATCATGGCTTAGTACAGGGAATAATGTAAACATGTTTTTTCTTTCTTTCTATAACCGTTCAATTTTGTTTCATAGACAACGACAGTTCCTGATGAGTGTTGTACGAAAAAAAATTTGAATCCTAATTTTCCTCTACACTATTTCTTCCTACTTCCATCGTTTTATTGGACATTGTCTCCACTGTTTTACATTGTGTGAATAAAGTATACAGAAATGTCGATTTAATGTAAAATTTGAAACTCGGATGTTGAGCCAATAATAAATGTAGAAAGGAAAAGGAAATATAGATACGAGTCGAGAGTAACTCTCCATCACTCTAACCAGATTTTTTAATAATTTACTATAATATACAGTCAGAAAGTGCAACTAGGCACAAAACTGACAGAGTACTGAGACATTCCTGAGCCGCAAGACTGCTAGGACCATTGGCCAGCTCTGGAGGCATGGCCAAGGACTCAGTTTGCGCGCCAGACGCACTTGGTTCCTCAGCATGGTCCTCTCTCAGCTATGCTATGGTTCGAATAGCTTTGTTCCTGGGCTTTCTGCCCAGTTGCTTGGACGTCTGGAGAAGAGTTTCAAAGCCGGCATTCGTGCAACCTTGCAACAGCGCTTTCTCACCCCCACCGCACCGCTACTGGCACTTCTTAGTATAGTCAGCCTGGCACACACATACACTCAGAAAGTTCTAATCTTTGTACACCGCTGTATCAATGGATACTGTAGCCCACTCCTACAGCAAATCTTTACAACGACTGCTCCAAACACCGTCCTAAACGATCAGCGCATCACTAGGGGCCAAGTTTCCAACTTGCTCCAAGTCCCTTTCCTTCGCGGGCCTGCTGGTCGCTCGAGTATGATGTTTCACGGCAGTATTGCATGGAACGCCCTCTCGGCTGATGTAAGATCGATAACTGCTGCCGATCAATTCAAGAGAGCCCTATCTGATATTGACGTACTTAACTTGTAAACTCTATGCCAACAGTCCAACACCTCTCGCCGTACTTCATGTTCCCTGGACTGCTAAAAAGTGTCCCCATCCAACAAAGTCTGCCAATGTTCACACATATATTCTCATGAAATGCTTCCACTACATTTTATTTGTTATCACATTATAAAAAGTTCACACAAATTGAGTGTCAGCATACACACAATGTCATAACAAACATTTCTATAATAATAATCATACCGCTTGCATGTCTTTATCTCTATACATTTCCTCATATAATTTTCTTCATCTTTCTGTGAGAACCGGACCTATAGGCCGGTAAGAAGGCAATCATGCCTGTGCAATTGGTGAAGTAAAATAAAAGTCAACAACAACAACAACATTCGACGTCCTTACACCTAGCTTCAACACATCTCCGTAGCGCTAACCGACAGCCTTCCCACTTGGAAGGTTATCTGGTTAGAGTGATGGAGAGTTACTCTCAACTCGTATCTATAATTATTTCCTTTTCCTTTCTACATCAATGTAAAAGACAAGAAGAAGAAAACACATGGGAACGAATTATGAAGCAACTATCCACGACTGTGCCAAGATCATAAACAGTTATAACGTGCAATAACAGGGAACAAAACTCACAGGCTACTGAGACATTCAACGACCTAAGACTTAGCTCTAACACATCTCCAGTGTGCAAAGCAGGATACAACTCGGAAGGTTCGAGGTTGGTTAGGACCAACGAGGAAAAGATGAGCGCAGCGAAAATGTGCACAACCTAATTCCCACGCAACAAAAAATGCCGACTGTTACAAGACGATGACAAGACCAGTTAATAACATGACAATGCGGTCTAACTACAATTCGAAGCAGCAAAGCAACCCATCACCCAACTTGGGTGGGTCAGCAACATCAGAGATACAGGAAGAGGCTTTGGGAAAACGAATTGTACAAAACTGGGCGCCAATATCTAATGGTACTCCTCATGCTTGACACTATTGGGGAGGAGTTGATTACGATAACCAAACCATTTGTAGCTACTGAGAGCCTGATTGCGGCATTCAACGCAGTGAAGCAGCCAGTCGCTTCATTTCTGCAGACACGGGCGTACTTCCGCCCATTTCCAGATGTCCGTACGGCTGTCAGATGCGATGCTTCACCTCAAGATTTGTGCGCTATTCTCAGGCAGCACTGCGGCAAGGGCCAGTGGGTGCCGGTCACTTGCGCCAGCCGATCATTGACTGATGAGGAGATATGCTATTCGCAGATGGAGCGTGACATGTTGAGTGTGGTATTCGCTTTACCTCGCTTCTGCCAGTATGTTTTGGGCCGGGATGAGGACATCTTCATGTATCACAGACCACTCCTCCATATAGTTCAGAAAACATTTGATGACGTTCAACCATGTCTCCAGCGTTGGTTATTATCTCTGATGCGGTATTCGTACGAATTCAAGCGTATCCCAGGAAAGCAACTGTTGTGCGTTGACGCTTTGTCTCGTGCTCCGCTGAAAACCACTGTCTTGTCTCCAGCTGAGTCCCGCTCATTGCATGAGTACGTCAACATTGTTCTTGAGGTAAGCATCAGTCAACCTTGAGGAAATCCGCCGTTCTACTCAACACGACGCAACACTCACAGTTTCCTGCAGCATATGCTCACCTCATCCTCGCAAGGCGCTTCATGTGCTGAGCAGCCGTCAGAGATCAACTCACAGAAGCTGACGGTGTGTTGGTATTGTCGGCATGTGTTGTGATACCAGACGGGCTATGCCATACTTTCATGGCTTTAGTGCATGAGAGACACCCGGGCCAGGAAGCCTTTCAACTTTCGCTCGGGCAGAGAGTTTGGTGGCCAGGGCTCACCA